AGGAACCATTTTAATCTATTCAACACACTACAGACTATGTTTTCTCTTAATTCCATTTCAATTAAAATTTCATTGATTATACCCATTCAATTTCGTGTTATTTTTTGTATTAGTTCAAACTTTTTTAGCAATTTTTATTTATTAACAAATTTGCAGGCAAGTGTTAGTGCCAATTCTCGGCGCCAAAATATTACTTATTTTTTTATTTATTCATTTGCAGTACAAAGTAGTTCAATTCAATTTAGTTTTGGCACTGATTTTTTGTGGTGAATGATTTTGCATTGCTTTCTCTCATTTATGTTTTTATTTAGGTATTCGCAAATGGCGTTTGGTGATTTTGCAAATTTTCGGTAAATTTTGATGAATGAATTTATTGGACTTTGATTTTTGCTTGTCTGGAAAGTATTTTAATTGGGTCGCGTATATGTGTTGCGGGCTATTGCTATGGTTTTTGTTATTGTTTGTTGCAAAAATTTAATAGCACACAATTGAGAACAAAATTAAGTAAAAGTAAACAAGAAAATCGAAATTGATTTGAGGTTGAATTGGACGATCACACATGCTCATTTGTATGTACGTATACAAAAATTTGCCAATTGATATAATTTTTATTTTGACAAAATAATTCTTTTTATGACCCTTCCGTTAGAAACATAAAAGCTCAGCATGTAAAAATAGTAGGAAGATCATTTTGTGCTCTCCTTTGCGCAAATCCTATTTGCGGTCAGTGTGGGTAAAAAAGCTCCACTAGTTCACAATTATGGATTAGTGTCATCTCTACTTTTCTCCGTCCATGGACTGCAGCAAACCGTGGTGATATGGCGCTTTCTACACCAGCGTTATCGATAATGTCACCGCCTTCGTATTTTATAGATTTAAAGCGCGGACCGTAAGAGCTTTTTCTCCACTTCGGCTTCTACACCTGTACATCAGTAAAGACTTGCCGCTTTGGAATTATTGTTGCTTTACTTAAGACCTTGGCATAAAATGCAGGATAGGGACTCAGACTACACACCTTACTGTTTATTCTTGAGGATAAGTTCCCCAAACGTATCCTCCTGGAAACGGTTAGAAAGACGCCGCGGACTTAGGCGTAAAATCTAACTTTACACATACACAATTGGCTCAACTAAATCTAATTGTAGGAAGTGGGATAAAGACTCGCAGTGTTTCATTAACACAGCTCACTGCTTTAAAAGAGGGCACAATTTAGCCGACTCTTCTCTTAATCTGCCTTCGGTCACTATTTACTCTGATACCCAAGCAACTATCCAGAACTTCGTAGATATAGCTATAGAATGACGAAAATTCCTTAACAATTCAGCTATTAAAATTTACCAGTAAATTCAGAGAAAATGGCAAGGCCATGGCCTGCCAGACAAACTTGAGAGGAGTGGAACCCCGCTTTTTTACGTCAAGTTCTCTCACTATGCGGGAATACCGTTATCTTCCTGCAAACCATGGCTTAAATCGCGGATTTTCAAGCAAACAGATAAAAGATAGTCAACACAACCCATTTGTAGAACGATATGACCCAGGTTCGACAAGGAAAAGGCCTACTCACTAATTCCCCTAGAACGGAATTACTATTCTATCCGGCCACTGCTTAACGGGACTACATGCTGGCAGAGTGAACCTACCGGCCAACGACCTCTACCCCAGCTGCCGTGCTGAGGATGAAATTTAAGGGGCCATTATTTTTTTGCCCCAGCAATATTATCAAATTAGCCCCAGATTTGTGCCCACAAGGCCGTCGAGGCCACGTGTGCGCCAACATTACCCGGTGGTCTGAAACAAACACTGACCCAAACCAATTTCAGTGAAAAAGTTTTGTCGAGACCCTACACTCCTATGAGAAAAAGGCTTCACCCTGCTGGAACTGCTGCTGCAGCAGGTGTTTTTTTCTTTTAAATTAAATGAAAATATCCCGATGCCTTCTTTGCGACCATTTGAATATAAGTAACCGGAGAGCAAATGCTATTGGTCGATGTTTATATGGCTTTTTGGGTGACCTCAGCTCACCAAGAGTTAGAAACAAATCCACATTTTGATAGCTAACAAAATAATTTTTAAAGAATAAGCGATAACTAAAAATGCCATGCGCTAAAAAAAAGTAACCTGAGCCAAAGTGTGTCCCACTAGGGACTGCCGCTTTACGTAACCTAATACAAATATAAAACAGAAGTAGGCTGGCAGACACCTCAGCGAGTAAACAGACTCAGTTTTCTTGGAATTTCAGCAACATATTTACGTCCTGCGACGTGTCTATTGTGAACCCTTTTTGGAGTAATATCCGTAAGTAAGTCCAATACATGAAGACTTTGTACCCGACCATTGAACAGCGCTATCACTAACTGAATTTTGTCTGTACTATCGATATATATTTTGTATGGAGAATTATTTAATAACAAACATTTCATAAAAAAAATTCTTGGTTAAGGTTAAGATAGATTAGGTTAGTTAAGTTAGGCTAAATAGCTTTGCTGAGATCCTAATAGATCGCCCACCCAGATCAAAACTCGTTCTAAGTTCCGCCTAAACATGAAAATAACGTTTTTTTTTCATTTCTGATCTTAGAGATCAACCAAAACTTATACCTAGGTGCCTCAGAATGTTTTACTTTATTTTTATGATGTTTTTCACTGTTCATAAACTATACAAAAACATTTCTAAATTAACTCTGAAATGCTAACACATGTTTTACAAAATTAAAATGAATTGTATGCAATTTGTAATTTTTTTTTCTAAATTTTTGTAGCCGTCTGGCTAATTAAATAAGGCAAGCGCAATCAAATTGCGAGACAAGCAAATCATTTGTGTAAAAAACAACTGTTATTGCAACTAGGTACACGCTTAACTACTTAATGCTCACATTCATACAAAGCTCCATAAAAGGCATAAGTATGAGTGTAATGAAATATTCTAATACTAAGTAGCAAAGTAGAAAAAATAAAAATAAAAACTACAACAACAAAAATGTTAATGCGACATTAGTGAAACGAAAATTTACAATGAGCAGCATTTATGTATCTACATACTTGTAGTTGTTGTCTAATATGGCGCAAAGTAACACCACGCAACGCCACAAATGACAGACATCGCTTGGCGTTAAATTCTCAGCACTACTTCTTCACCTTTTTTGCGCCGCCACCAACCTCGCTGTCCCTCCGTTGTGCCATTACAGACACCGCAACGGTGTCAACTATGTAATTTGTAATTTGTAATTTGTTAGTTGACAAAAAGGTTTATGGCGGCGCTTGTGCACACAGCCGGCCATACTGCATACATATGTATGTATGTATGCACATACATATATATATGTTGCAAGTTGTGAAATAAACACATAAAAAGCAAAAAAAAAAACGAAAACGAAAAAACAATTTAAAGTACAAATATGACCGTTAAATACTATAAAATGCATAACAACAAATCTTTTAACAGCCGCAACGTTGTAATTTATTTAACGCAATTGCTTTGAAGCTTTTCCATGCGAGTAAGTACATATGTGTGCGTTCAAGTGTTTTATGTTTTGTTGTTCAACGCATTGTCAACTGGTTTGTCTAATTTGTAGTAGCCATATTTTTAAGTATGTAGATACATATATACTTACATACTTATGTATGTTTGTATGTATGAATGTCTTTCTCAACAGATGTGCAAACAAATTTGTGTGAAATACAAGCTAGACAAATTAGTCACAATCATGGGTCGCAATTTGTTTTGCTTGAGTGTGAAAATTCCTCAAGTTTTTCAAGATTGTTTTTGCTAAATAATTTTGTAAATTTTTTAGAGGCGGTTTGATAGATTTTGTAGTAAATGAACTCCAATCCGAATGTCAAGTGTGATTAAATTCAATTTTACCAATGGCCGCCTTAAGATGCCGTCCGTATCAAGCTCACAGGGCAACTGTCTTTCAACTCACCACAGTCGTTCGAAAGAAAAAAGTATTTCGTAAGACAATTGTCAAAACAATGTTTTCCTTTTTAAAAAAATAAAATCTAAATATTAATAGAAACTTAATTAGTTAAAAAAAAAACTTAATAAAGTTAAAGTTCCTAAAAATTAAATGAAACTAAAAAAAAAATACTTTTTTACATCTAAAAATTAAAGGAAGAAAAAATTACATCAAATCAGTTTCCAGATATTAAATGAAATAAAAAATATACATATATTTCTCTTTTATCAAGTACCACTCAGAAGAAATTCGTTAAAGTTTAAAAAGTCTCGGTAAACATACCCCAGCAATGGCAAAATAAAATCAATTAGTTTAAGAAGAAAAAATGTAATGAATAGAAAAGAAGTTCCCAAAAATTTAATGAAATTAAAAAGAAAACATATTTGATAAAAAACAACGAAAAGAATGAAATTCAATAAAAAATTTTTTTTTTCTTTTCTTAAAAAAATTAAATCTTAAAACTAAAAGAAAATTAATTAGTTTAAGAAGAAAAAAATTTGATTAATGAAAAAGAAGTTCCTAAAAATTTATTCAAATTAAAAAAAATACTTTTTTTTAAAGAATAACATCTAAAAATTAAAAGAAAATAAAATTGAGAAAGAAAACAACTTTATTAGAAATTGAAAAAGAAAAATTAAATAAGTTTCTAAATATTTAATGAAATAAAAAAATACATAAATTTTTCTTTTATCATATACCACTCAACAGAAATTCGTCAAAATGTAAAAAGCCTCGGTAAGCATACCCCAGCAATGGCATCACTGTTTTAAATCAGCTACGAGTAAATCACTCATCGTAGGGAAGCTTTTCAAAGCTTCCTATTTATTTAATTTGAATGCAAGGAAATGATAATCAGCCTCTAATCATTATAATCTAACCACTCATCAACTGTGACCGTAGCATAAATTTTCTATGCTAATACATAATAGCCTATTTTGATATTTAAATGCAGTGTGCCGCATAAACACACCTTGGAGCTACCCTTGAAAAGCTTAGTAGCGGCAAAAAAATTGCGTAGTAAATATTTTTAGTAATATTTACTCACCTGTAAAAATATAATTAGGGAACCCTGTGTCGAACTAAGTCCAAATCTATAAAAGAAAATAAATAAATAAATAGATTTCTCTCTCATTCAGATTTAGTACAATATTAAACATGCTTATTCAAATAATATTGATATTTGTAAACAAATAATTAAAAAAATTATAAAAAGAGAATTCGAAGACATGAAGAGTTTACGGAACGTGCGTATACCAGCGGTAGCACGCTAGAGCTTGGCACATCGAGTGAGATCGAAACCCAGTCCCGCTGAAGTCTACTAAGAAGCCAATGTGTTAATATATTAAACAGTAGCAATGTTTAGCTTCTGCCGCTTAGGACTTGCTATTTTTACAGAATTTTCATAAAATATCCAAACAATATTGTTGCTACAAATTTATTATTATTTGTGAAAATCACCTCCATATTTGCACCGAAACATTCTTTTCATTTCATTAATGCACATACCAATCTGCATACGTAGAAACTTGAGTGCCAATATCATAAATATAATTTCTCTAAGTATGCTTTTCATGTGCAAATATCGTAAATTTTTACAGCTTTCCGCTAATTATTTTCTGTATAAAATTTTAACATATGTCACGACAGTAAAAATTCGCCTGCAATGTGTGAATCTTTATGCCCAAATAAAGTCAAGCTCTTTAACACCGACCTTCTTATAAACGCTGTATTTTTCAATCTTATAATAGAATTTTGAATGAAAATGAGTTGTATGTATGAGGATATTTACTCAAAGATAAATCGTTACAATATGGGTATCATTCGAAATAGTTTTCAGTCACTTTTTTCCCAAACTATATGTACGAGTTGCCATCTGTTTTAATTAGGTAACTGATATACATATATACATACATATATATGTATCACAATATGGTTATCAGACGAATGAGTTTTAAGAAGGTTGCAGTTTGAAAATATTGCGAAGATAGGTGCCACCTGTTTGAAATTCATATGTACAACTAAATTACTAAAGTAATGTGTTTCATTTTCTAGTAATTTATGAGAACTCAATTATATAAACTAAAATAAGTTTGGTCTACGTTGATATGTCAATAATTTCTAATTTTCTCAAAAATCGAAATGCTTGTATCATAAGTAGATATAACAAATATTTGAATGCCAGAATTTCAGACCCTTTTTAATGGCGATGTAGCGAAAATTCTTAAGCAAACGTAAGCAATGCCTTAGAAACCTTAAATGCACTGAAATTAACTAATACTTATACAAAAATCACCGTTTTGTTTAATATTTTAGTAATTCTCACTATAACTAACTATTAAAAATGTTTAGGCTGCTCTCATGAAAAAAGTGATTTTGTGAGTTATCATATATGTGCATATATGCATACCCGCCACCACAATTGTGTGTATGTATATGTTTCCAGGTATGTATGCACATGAGCATTCGAGCCTTATATGCCTTAACAGTTATTTCTATTAGACAGTTAAAAATGCTCATTGCACATTTCTAACAATGTAATTACGAAATGACAGACAAATGTTTCAACTGATTGATGAGACGACTAAATGTTATTGACAGTTTCTATTGCCAACTGGAAAGTTGTATTTAGATTTTATGTACTTACATATGCGTATGTACATATGTATGTATGTACGAATTTTTTGTTATTATTCATTTTTGTTTTTTATTCAGTTAGTAAAACTTTAGCTAACTAATCGCTTTTTGCTTTTAATGATTGTTGACTTGTTACCAAATTAAAAACCAAAAAAAAACTCTTTAGCATGAATTTAAAATGCCTAGCACCAGTCAAAAAACTATAAGTTGCGGGTAGCTTAAAAACTAAATACAACTGTACATACGAAGGCTTCTATGAAATCCTGGGCAAGCTAGACCATTTAGTAGGCGTTTGATAGACTTTGAAAACAGATGGCCTCGTATATTTTGACATCACAGAAAGCAAGGTAAGAGGAAAGACGGCGCCAAGTGTGGTCCCATACTAATTTCGTTTAGTTAAGACTATTGGATCATGAAGAAATTAACTCCTAAATATTTATATTTATATAAGCATTGAAATCGGTTATATTTTTTTCTTAAAAATGACTTGCTATTTATTACATTTTGTATTTCTCAATGAAAAGTTATTGACGTGGCAGTTGCTATTAATTGAAGCCACTTTGGTTGCAAGTAAATTATTATTTTTTTTTAAATTACGTTCATTTAATTTTACAGCTGGCGGTTGGCATCCTTGCGCGAAATGTTAGAAAGGGGCAACAAGTGCATGCATGCCGTCAGCACAGCAGCAATGATGGCTCACAAACAATAATAATTTTTTGCACATAAATTGAGTATATTTGAGTGCTCACATACATATGCACAAACGAGCGAAGATGCTTACTTAAATATCTATGCTTGCACAGAAATGTCAATTTCGCGTCAATGTTGGCATAAATGTTTCCGCAATAAAAATCAAATTTAATTACATTGGATGTGTTTACGTATGTAAACACTTACGTATGTACTTGTATAAATGTATGGTCAGTACATCATCATTTGCAAAGCTTCCAGCGTGAACAGAGATGTTAAGTATTTCACATTTTTACAAGATTTTTTTTTTAATGTGCATTTTAAATACTTTTTAAGCAGTATTTGTATTTTGTATTTTTAAATACATTTTTCCATTCTTCATTATTCGTCAAGTCATAAAGTTTTCTGTTAAAACACTGTGTTTTATGTTTTAACATTTGCAAATTCCCTCATGACCAAAAATACTAGAAGCTCTGACTTTGAAATTTCAAAAAAATAAAAATAAAAAATGAATTCAAATAATTATTTGAAAAATGCATAGCAATGTAGGACCAAGATAGGCAACAAATGGAAGAGAAAATTCTATATAATTGAGAAAAGATTACATTTTTTGGTGCACACGGACGAATTAGTATGAAAAGTGTCCTTCTAAAATATTATCCTCGAATATCCTGGACAATTTTCAATATTTATTTTTGAAAAAAGTATACGTTAAGGACCACATCCTCGAATTTCGGCCTTTCTTACAATATTAGCTGAGGATAAAAAGGCATTTTAAAAATCTATTCGTCCTTATGAACCAAAAAAAAAATATATATACATATATATATTTTTTATAATTTAACAGAATTTTCTCCTCCACTCGGTACCCATAATCATTTTTTTCATTTTTTATTCCATTGACTGCTCTTCTTGAAATAAACATATCTCTCAAATTTCAAAGTCCTTTAAGAAAAATTCTGCCGTAAGAGAGAAAAACAAAAAAACGCAGTTTTACTAAGTTTGACCCATAATTTCAGGATTGTTATTGATTGTTTCGTGCGCTTTGAAATTTTTTGGTTTTTAACATCTCTGAGCGTGAAATACACGCAAGTACTCAGTCGCGGGTGTATTCAAGCAAATATATTTATCTACATTCATATTCATATATGTATACATAAATACATGTTTTCTACATATTTTACCTTTTTCTATTTCTCTATGCAATGCTTTCCATTGCTGGTTAGTTACCTTCTTTTCAATACTTCAACCAATTTATGTGTTGCTATTTTTGTGATTTGCTGTTTGACAGCCATTTGTTTTTATGTGTAGCGCACATTAAAATTAATTGAAATGATTTTTACAACGGTGCAACGTTTAAAGTCGTAAACTTTTGCTATTTGACGGTGAGCGAACAAACACATATGTTCATACATGAGCCATTCTTTTTTTAATCGTAGGGATTTCGTAAAAAAATTATGTCGTGTCACCATATCGCTTAATTTTTTCTTAATACATACACACATGCATGAAATAAGCTAACACGTATTCGAGGAATTTATTTATTTTTTTAATTTTTTCTTCTGACTAATTATGTACTTCTAATATCTAATATATTATTATTATAATTATTATTAATATCTAATTCAGAAATAATATTTGTACGTCAAGATTTTTTTTGTACGCAATGAAATTTAAATTTTTGCAAAACCCCGATTTTTAACACCTTGCTAAAGATATCTCATCATAAATTTTTAAAAAACAAATTACAAAAAATTGTTGACTCTCAAAAAAAAAAAAAAAAAAAAAAAAAACATATCATCATAAAAAAAGAATATTTTAAAAATAGTTCTTGAAAACCCCCTTTTTTAAACAGGGTTTTTATAGAGAACCAAACAAAGATTACGATGGTGTAATTTACTATGCAAACAAACTTCGAAATGTTCAACTGTTAATAGCTAAGTTAGCTTTAGCACAACCATGATGATCTTAGATTTGAAGAAGTACATGATGATTAGTCAGAATCACGAAAAAATCCCAACTTTGACGGATCATATTTCCGAGGAGAAAATTGCTTATTTCATTTCTAGAACCCATAAAAAATTGTGAGGCAATTGAAATTTGCTGTCCGATATGAAAAAGAATGCCTCACATACATATGCAGTAGTACCCGCTTCTATAAATAAAATGGAAGTAAAAATTTTAAAAGCGCAACAAGGGGTAAATATGTACGTACATAGAGGAGAAAGCCTCACGTTTTTAAGTGAATGAGTGATTTGACTTGTTGGCCGACGCCTATACATACATACATATATTTTAATAAGTACATACTTGTACCTCTATGCATGTTAATGTGTGTAATTGTAATTAATGTTGTTGTGTAATGTTTGAATATGAAGACCAGTATGCAAATTGTAGTGTTTCAATAAAACTGCACAGATATTGTTGAACAAACAAACATGGATGCGGATCCATACATATGTATGTACATACTTAAATGAAGGTTGGGCATCATACCTTAAACTTGCGTCAATATGACTTGCAACGTTTTCCAATTAAGCAGTAAATAAAAAAATTAATGTTTTAATTTGTCTACTGAGATTTCTCGTTCTATGTTTACTGTGGGGGATTTTTTTTTTTAGAAATTGGACCCCTGTTACGTCAGAGGATTCAAGTGGTGGCCGTTATTGCAGCAGTAAGACATAAAGTAGTCGACTGGAAAGACGCTGGAAATCCCAGACTTTACGGTGGGCTAGGCAGTAGCCACTATTTTACATTCTCACTAGAA